AAAGCAACATTTCGCCACATTTACTTCCAAATAATGTTAAAAAAAAAAGTTGTGCACATTTTTTAAAGTCACTTCTTACACATTGGCACCCCATGCTGGGTAGCTTAGATTAGCACAACAGCTAACCTGACTCTGTGCAATAGTAACAAAATCTGCCAATCAGAACACCTCAAGCTCACTAATTAACATGTTATATCTCATTTGTTTAATCCATACAGGCGGGTTATGTGCCAGACTATTTCTTGGCTGAATCTTGCAGTTCCTGCTGACCGCCAACCAACTGGTCCCATTGAAGAAAGTTCTGCACATAACCCCCTGTATAACACATTTCCGTTTGTGCTAATCAGCTGCTGTAGATTCATATTTAACGCAGAGACATGAGAGCAGTATCAATCTTCTCATCTCAAAAGAGAATATACAGATTTCCCAGAATTATTTTTTTAAATCCATGTCAAGTCTTAAATCATTTGAATCCATATGCCGATGTGTGGCTATAAGGACTATCTGTCAAAGTCTTTTTCATTGATTCAGAATTTATATCAAGTCAAGTCAATTTTATTTATATTGCCTAAAATCACAAAGTACAAATTTTCATCTACAGGCTTCAGAGTCTGTACTGCATAGAACATCTTTCATCCTTACACCCATTCAGATAAGGAAAAAACTACCCCAATAAAACCTTTTAACATGCAGGAGAAAAAAAACAGAAGAAACTTCAGGAAGAATAACAGAGGACAGAATGGAAAGACATGCAATAAATGTCATGTACAGAGGAGAGAGAAACAACTATAGCGACAATATTGGGTAAATAGAGGTGGACTGGGTTACATGATCTCATTTCTACAATCAACACCTGCTAAGAGGTCGCACAAATGGGTAAGGTAATTTTACCAGGCCATAATTTGAGATTCAAATGTTAAATGTTCTTTTTGGTGTCAAGTCTGAAGGGACTCAAGTTAGAGCTCTTAGCTGTCAAGTCCAAGTCACGTCTCTAGTCTTTTAAAGTAGATTTGACTCAAAGTACACCCGAGCATCAGTCTCTGAAATGTATTTCACATGTAAATGTACATACAGCATGTTAATCAGTTAAGAGACTTGTACAGAGACAATAAAACTTTGCCCATGTGGCACAAGTGTACACGAAAGTACAACAACTGACAAGTGGGACAAGTGTGCACAAGCAGAGCACCACAAATAGGAGCAGTTCTCTTATAAACAGTATAAATAATACATTCACAATTGTATTTATTACCAAAAGTGATATACCTAATAATTTCATCTTGCCAGTCATATAAAATGAAGAAGTGTTCTTATACAGACTCACCAACTAAACACTGAAAACAGTGTTAACAATCCAATATATTCACTCTAAATATTTTGACGCCAGCACCTACATCTACCCTGTGGTCCTGCCTCTCAGTTACCATACATGGAAAACATCTGTCCTGATCTAGGAGTCAGTGTCAAGTTGTGCTGTTGGGCACGTTTATCCATCTTGGTCACATGTCAACAGCAGTTACCCTTAGAGGAAGGCATGACAACAATACCATGAACCCCAGGATATATGGTAAAAGTGGAGGGTTTTACAATACTTAAAGCTGCTTGTAGTCTGTTGATTAGCGTGTGCGCGAGTTAAAAAAATGAATCAATGTTTCACTATTTTGAATTATAGGATACTGTGAGATGTGGTTTCTATGGCTTCTCAATGAGTCAATCCATAGTCCCCTCAGGTCTTCTAACACATCATCATCTCAGGGATGATCAGTTCCACAGTCTCTGGATCAGTGCACACCACCGAACGCCAGGCTAAATAAAATCTAAACCAAGCTCGTAATGCTGTTATGTTCATCTTGTTAGATCTACAACCCTTAGCACAAAAACAGCTGAAGCCTCTGGACAATAGTGTATCAGTAAGTGGGGAAAATAGAAGAGGATCAGTAAGATGAAATCTCTACTGAAACCCAGTTGTGGAATGCAGTAAAGTGAGATATTAAACTGTAGTGAACTAGGAACTTTTTTGTATACTTATTTGCTTTGCTACAGCTGAATGTCTATGGTTTGTTTATCAGCACATTTTGGCACTGCGTTTAGGTACACTGAGAGCCCCTAACAACTGTAGTCAAATTCTTTCTGCAAGCATACTTTGCCAATGAAGACTGGATTCTTGTAATTCTAGATGACTCTTGTGAGTCCCCTCTAGCTACAGTGTGTGCCTGACAACAATCTCATCAATAAACTTTTCCTCAGTATCTTTCTTAAAGTCCCTGTCACTTTCTAATGCTATGTGACAACTTCATTTCACCTCTGATATGTGCCTGCTGGGTGGGGTTCCTTTTCTGTTGACGCCCCCCTGTTGAGGATCATATGATGCTCTTGTGTTGCTTTGTAATGTTTTGCATATGGCTCCAGGGCGAGGGGCCAAACTCTGTGTTGAATGGTGTTTTTGTTCAACATGGATCATCCCCGAAGAGAGCAAGCGTGCACACGGCTGCCTCAAACAAGGCTGTCAAGATGTCTGCGGAGGCCCCACGCCAGCACACCCCACCAGGCAGCTGCTGCCTGCCAGGCGCCCATCTACAAATAATCTACTGTGGGAGGAGGTGTCAGTCTGTTCTGTCAGGGTATACAGTGTATATCCAGTCCCGAGTAAAGGTTCAAAGCTATTACATAAGGTAATAATCATTTGAAAAGTACTGAGAATATAGTAGTTTTTGAATAAAAAATAAATAAAACTTTGAAACTGAAGATCTATTCTGTGACTTCTGTCCATGGATGGTCTACTGAACAGGTCTGCCAGGCGCAGGCCCAGGGGGCCCTTGACCCCTTGGGCTGCTGGAGCCTGTGTGTGGAGCCTATGCTTGAAGTGATTGTTAGCATTTCTTGTTGGGAAGTCAATCAAAAATACTGCAAAGACATACAAAACAACCGCAAAAAGACACAAAACTGCCACAAAACAGGTGTAGAATTATTTCAAATGATGTGTGCTGTCGGTCTGGGTTTCTTGTCCCTATACGGTGTACAAGAAATGGCAGCAGAGATTTTGATCGCAGGTAGGAACACTGTAGAGAGAATGTGCTGGTAGCATCTACATACTAGAAATGTGCGTACTGCAGAGACTGTAGCCTATATGAAAATACAGTAATGATTTTTCCTCTGGTGTGCAGTGATGCCAGGAAGCATTTAGGGCAAATGTAGGCTAAAATATTTTACTTTTTGTGTTTTGTCATTGATATTTTGTAATAGTTATATATTTTACATGATTAGTAGCCTGCTGCTCTGACATTACTGCAGGACACAGGGCATCATGATTTATCATTTCACAGTGAACAATACTTCTCCTTGCATTACAGAAGAGCCAGTCAGATTTTGACAGCCCAGTGATCAGGTGGCACGTCAAACTACATTAAGTGTGACTGTCATAGCTACAGGGCCCATGCCATAAATTCGTAAGTGTTCTTCTTCACACTTTTTGCTTTGATATTTTTAGTTCATCTCAATTTCCGTGTGACAAATAAAATCTGTTTGACCACTTTTCACTGAAAATCGCTACGTAAAATGCTGCATGAAAAACCCTGAGTCATATGACTTTACCCTTGTTGCAAATTGCTTACAGACAGTCAAGCTGACCGCAATCAGTTTGTATAAACAACATGAGAATATAGCTCATGCTACCGAGCCAATACGGAGTCTCACAGGCCTGGCTGCCGACACAAGTTATGTAAACGCTAAGGCGACAAGGCAGATCCTGAGAGGTGCCCGCCAGGGACGAGGGCCATCATTGCCAACTCTGAACCTCTGAAGTAAGACACTTCAGAGACGCCCTGACAAGTTGTTCCTTTACTTTAAAGGGAAAAGCAAAGGACATAAAACTCTGTCTTTGAGAAAAAAGTTATTACTTTTGATGGTAGATTACGCCATCACGTCTGGCAGTGATCCAGGAATTTAAACTTTTGAAATGCTGCACTCAATGTTCTGTGCAGGTTTTGTCACATAAAAGAGAAAATGTGCTACTCGGCCCCACAGACCAAAAATCAACCTTTATGAAATGGAAACAGGAGTTAATTTATTACACAACCTTGCTGTTTGGGACAAATTTCTCAGCTTCACTGGCGTCTGTGCCTGATCATCGTGGCAACTCCACTGTCGTAATACATCAGCATTCATCTTCCCACAAGCTGCCAAGTAAATCTTGAAACACTGCAATGTTGACTAAACATAGCAGCTTCAGATGAACATAAACCAACAATCCCATAGATTTTCAATGGTTGGAAGAACCACCCTGCAGTGTAACATCTTTACATCATCTGTCAGTTTCATTCATTTCCTCTAGACAAGACTTTAAAGGGGGTTTCCATGGGTTTCTGCCAGTGGGTTATAAATTTTAGACCCTGCTGCCAGTAGATTTTTCTCTGTGCTTTTTTTAAATTTTTCCCCATGTGCTGATTCAAGTGATTCTGAGAATGCCTGAGTTTCTTCATATGAATCTACTTTATATTTTTTTTTAACTTTATCTAGACAACAGCAGTCTGCATTTGCAAAGTGAAAGAGAAAGAGGAGATTGAAAGGGAGTATAGGGGCAGCAAACAAGTTAGTCAACAGGTGGGGAGGATAAACCCAACAAAACCTGTTTTATGAGGGCTGTGCATCTTCAACAACTACAAAAAAAAGAAGAAGAAAGAAAACTACAGGCACTGAAGAAAGTGAGGAAAAATATGACTATTAAAAATGAGAAATAAAAAAACTCAGCAGCACAGACACTTCAGGTATTAAATGTATCTATTACAGGAAGATTGGTGTCCTCTACGTGTCCATAGGAATATAATTGTGATTTACAGCTCGTGGAGACTCCTTAAATCCTCTCTTTGGTAGCTACAGCGTTAATATTCCTGGCAAGCTCCACCTCCACTACCACCTTTTATGTTAATTTCAGCGTGATGTGTGCGCGGACTGGAGGGAGCCGCTGCGCGTTGTATCTGTTGGCTGCTGCTTCATGTCGATGAGGCGTGAGCTTGAATCACCGTCGGGACTTTTTGGTGAACGGCGTCGCCGACCTTATAACATAATGTCGCCGCTGAGGAGACGCAGCTGAATGTGAAATAATTGTGGATCCAGCCGGCAATTACAGAAGAGGTGAACGCACCTTGCATCCAGCCATGGGAGGTCAGATCACCAGAAATAGCATCTACGGTAAGAACAGCTGGCATCACAGCGTCCTGTATTGATTGTTAATATTAATGAATAATATAATACAAGCCGATATAACCGAGTGGTGCCCGTGCAGCCTCTAGCTTGTGTGCATGGAAAGTGTAGGCGTCCTGGCTGCCCTAAAATAAATGAGAAGTGAAAGTAGCTGCTTTAGCCAAGTTTCACCACCTTCTGTAAGTCACGACTGGCTCTGAATAAAAAGGATATGGACAGGATGTTGTGTTTTGCAAAAATTTCAGGAAATTATAGAAACTCCACACAGATGCAAGTTTCTCAGTCTTGTTCCACTTCACCCTGACGCCTGTTTCCAGTATAAAAGCAACCAAACGGGTCAAAGTGAATCAAGCTGGCAGCCAAGGCTCCACATAACTTTTCTGACCTGACTTGTTGTCTTTGTGGCCAACAGTTGAAAAGTGATCACACTCAGCATGCTGGCAAACTGTGCCACAACTTTATGTCCTTTGATGACTCCATCTTTCTACTCATGTGGCTATCAAGTGATCATATATGCGTGTCTGAAATGATGGCAGTTAACAGGTGCATTGGACGTTTCATATTATTATTTCTTGCAACTTTCTGGGCAACTGATAGGCCTACAGTTTAGTGTATTCATTGCAAACCCAATTATTGTTGTAGAGCGAGAAGCTAAGTCGTTTTCATTTGCTTTCTGACTGAAACAAAATCACAGCATGCACTGTGCAATTAAACTTATTCACAATATTTCAAATATAATGAGTTGAACACTAGATAACTGTAAAAATAAAAGTTGTATTAAGCATTAGTGTATTGACTGAAGAGCTGCAACAATTAGTTGAGTAATTGATTAGTTGATTGCCAGAAAATTTATCAGAAAATTTTTTGATAATCATTAATATATAAAGTCATTTTTCAAGGAAAAAAAAAGAAAGCCAAACAATCCAACTTGTCAATTATGAAAATTGTAATGGTTCATTTAACTGTAAATTGAATATATTGGGTTTTGGTTTGAACTAAACAAGCAATATTAAGAAGTCACTTTGGGCTTTAGATTGTATCGGCAGCTGCATGGAAATAATGATTAGTTGCAGCCTATTGACAAACATGTTCACTGATAACTAGATGTCTCAATATTACATGAGCTAATTTCATTTGGTTGTAAAGCAGACATATATAGTGTATAATGAAAGTTTGGTTTTGAGTTGTAATTGATATACAGTAAATGACCAGGACACAGTAAACATTTCTCATTTCCCAGATGGACACACGGACACGGGCCAATACACATAGTCCTTTTTCCAATTTCATTGTGAGGGGCCACTGGTGTGAAATAACAATACAGGTGCTCGGCAGGGGCGCTGCTAGAAATTCTTGGCCCTCTGACAAGAGCTCAGTCAGGGGCCCGAAAATGTAAATATCTATAATCCCTGTCATGTGTCAGGGCCCCTGTCCAGCTCAAGAGCTCATGAATCATTCAGCTCTCACCTCTCCACATTTGGCGAACATGCATAATTGTGTTACTGACGTTTAGGCGTCACAGTGTGGCCTTAGCAAAGAAGTTCAACTATTTTCAAAAAAGGTGAAAAGTGCTGTGTCGTTTATATATTATATTATCAACTAAATTGTGTTATCAACTAAATTTGCATTTTAGTTTTTTGCTTGTGTTATCTCCTCATTAAAAAAAAATCTCTAAAACATGCAGCACTGATTAAACTAAGCTACAATGATTAGTCAATTAATCAATTAGCAGATTGATATAAAATTAATCAGCAATTATTTTGAAAATTATTCTAGCTCCTCAGATTTAAAAGTTTTTGGGTTTCCTTTGTCCTCTCTGACATAAAATTGAATTTCTTTGGGTTTATGCTCTGTTAGTCAGACAAAATGGCACATTTGAAGACGTAACCTTGAGCTTTGGGAAATGTAGGGAAGGGTATTTTTTACTATTTTCTAGAGAAAAACTACGATCAATCAAATAAGAAAATAATCCGAGTTTAATGGATAGAAAATTATTGTTAGTTTGAACACTTAAATGAATATTGTCTCCTAAATCAATCAATTTTTTAAAAACTATTTTCAATTTTTTTCCAGAGACCCCAAACTTTGACCACCCTAATAATCCTGTTCTATCATTTACATAGTACTGTTCAGTCCTGACTGTGAAGTAACTGCTCCTTGGGGTGACTATCAAGCCTCCATAAGCTCGTATACAACATCTTCTCTATTCTAAGATACTCTCATAATTCATAGCATGTCACCATATTAATTATAAACTGTAGCAGGTCTGGTACATGATGACACTTAAAACCTTAGAAGTGTTTGAGAATAAATGTTTACTTCTTATTGAAACCACACAAAAGTATGACATATTTGCAAAACCTAAAAAGATACACATGCCCTCTGGCTCCTGATGCTGCTGCCTGTGAGTGCTCATCTCCTCGATACTAACGTCACACCACATTAGGGCGTCTGTTGAGGGGATACAACACAGAGGAGCGTAGGAGGCCAGGTGACACAGGCCAGGGCCACTCTTTGTCTCTGCACTGTTTGTCCTTTCCAATTAATGACAGCAGAGGCAGTCACATTGTGTGCGGTGGTGCATTAAGTAACATTATCCTTCCTTAAGTTGCTCATCTGACGTTTGTCATGGCACCTCTCTTTTATCATGGCAGGGCTCTGGTCACTGTTCACCCTGACATCTCCGTCAGGTTGCACGACTTTTTAAACACACTTCAACAGCCACTGTATCATCAGCACTTTTGGCTGTAACCGAACTGTCATTTACAGTAAATCAAATGTGGTATTTTTATTTATCCATTTATTTACTTACTTGACTTAATTCATGGTTTATACAGCCTTTGGTGTGCTCTGAAGGCTGTAAAAACCCATTCCAACTTGCCTGGGAGTGAAAATAAAGCTGCTCTTAAAAAAATACGGGAGAATTCAATTTCACAGCCGCAGAAATGGTATTAATGTTGCAAGAATGAAAGAAGATATTGGATTCTCTGGTTAGATGGTAAAGCAGGAGTGTTGCTACAGCTCCTGCAGAGGCCTGTGAGGTGTTGCTTCTGTTTTCAGACCTCTCAGGAAATACTCTATTCAGTCTCGGGCCTGGTTATTGATGGAGTACAATACAGTCTTGCTTTCTTTTCCTGAAGACATCACGTCTGACATGACATCATGGATGCAATGTGGTTGAAGGATTTGTTATGACTTCATTTAAGACCACTGTTGTGCACAGAGCACAATTCGGCATTGTTCTACAGTGACAAGAGCATGTGAAGATCTTAACAAATACACTGTACTGAGCCCAGAACACTTGGCAGAGCCTCCCTGATTGTGATTTAAGGGGTAAGATGCTGCAATAATATGTGACAATGCTGCCTAATGGAGACTATCTCTAGTTTAATGCAATTCTACAATTTTCATGTCTTCACCCACAGCTCACACCTCTGTCTTTCACACGTCTCTGCCCTGGACGGTGACCTTACAACAGACCCGGTGTCAGAAGTCATATGATCAGTCATTGCCAATCCTGACAGCCTTAATTGATTTGTCTCCAGGGTACTTTATAAACCTCTTGACCCTCCAAGGTCACTCATTGGACAGCCAGAATAGCTGTCTTTCAGCAAAGGCTCATACGGTCGACTCAAGCAAGAGTCAAACACACACAGCTTCCACACGGTCTTCCAAATTTAGGTGCGAAACTACAGGCAGTTCTCAAGGACAAACAAGTGTTAATTAGGCCTAAATTATTTGTTTGGCTTCCAGGCTTGGCAGATTGGTTAGATTTTATGGTGTTGAAATGTCACTGTAGTGAGGACAAAAGTATTGTAGGACAGAAAACTATAAAAAGAGATGATATTTGCTCAATTTGAAAACAGCCCTGCCTTACGTTTAATGAGAACGCAATGTCTGTGAGAAACTGCCTCCTCCACTAAACCACAGTGACCTTGGCGGTGAGCTTCAAAGAGAAATGTGGAAACAAAAATGGGGAGAGTTGCTCCCAATGAAGGGTAGTGAGTGTGAAATCAGGCTCATGATGACTTTGAGCAGATTCTTTATCAGTCTGAAACCCAGAGCGACAGATGTGATGTGAAAAAAAAAAGATGTTTGGCTCTATTAGTTATTATGGTAAGTGGGAGTAGTTATGATTCACAGGGCTGCATGGGAAAATGTAAAACCTCAGCTACATGTTGAGTCAGATGTTCTCCTGTGGGTCTGCTCTTATTTTGCCACTTCCTCTTACAAACAAAGCAACAATGAATACTGTGAAATCTCATTTAGTTGCAGTGATATTGTATATACGATGTATTTAATTTTTTTTTTTTTTCATTCTGATAAGGTATGTTGTGAGTGATATGTTCTCATTAAAACCACAACCGGACATAACATACAACAGCCACGCCTCACTATTATAAGAGCTTTGTTTGCACATTACATGTTAGCTGATCATTTTGTTTTCTTTATCCTCCTCCTGCTTTCTTTACCACTTTCTACTTACAATTGCCCAAATGTGTTCCGGCAGAGTCTGAAACAAACCACAAATGAAACACACAGCAGTTTAAAATTTGGCAAGATGTAGAATAACAAAAAGCCATGGGTGTTGCTGGAAATGACCATTTACTGAAATTAGAGTATTTTGTATGAACCTCTCATAGGTGTATTGTTCTCTGTAATTACATAACCATGGGAGCAATTGTGCCCTTGTGGGGTTTTTTTTTCCATCCAAGGACATTTTTGCATGTAATTTACCTTGCACATTGTACGTGTCTGCACAGTAGGTGTGTGGCTGTACTGTTCTACCTTGAGAAGCTGGAAAGAGAACACAAGTATTAAATTATTTTAATGCCTTTTTTTACTTAATTGGATGATCCAGGAGCAGGGAAGATACATGAGAGGAAATTACATGTGACATGATGTTAGTGTATTATATAAAACAAAGCTGGTGGTGGTACAGACTATCTAATCTAATGATGTAATATTTTTAATCTAAAATCTGGGGATTTTGTATAAATTGCGTCCCATTTTTCTGCTCCCCACCTGGAGACCAAACTAAGCAACCGCTTTCCCTTCTCTACACAGATTCTCTGAACGCGCCATTTCCTGCAACATCCCACCGATGCCACCACAAGCCCAAGCGCTGCCTGCCTATACAGCCATGTGCAGGCTTATCCTCCGTCCCTCTGCTCTTCCACCCCAGCACCAAGGGCTCGCAGATCGTCATGGACATGTCCCAGAGGACCGTCAAGAGACAGGCCAGCTTCTGTAACGCCATCACCTTCAGCAACAGACCTATCGCTGTTTATGAGCAAGTTCGACTGAAGGTAAACAAGACGCTACTGTAGGAAGTGGGCTGTTTTGAACCCAGAGTTTGTGTCATTTTTTATTTACCCAAACTACAGTGTGGTTATTTTCACCCAGTGAGACACAACAAGCTCAAGCATTGCTTTAAAACTGTCACAAATGTATTGTTAGTTGTACAAACAATGTGCATCTAACATTAAAAACTACAATGGTTCCCACATTATTATCAATCAGTGACAAATAGTGGCATTTAGTTTAAAAATAGCTAGCGTATATTATAATGGCTAGCAACCATACCTTATTCCAGTTTGGATGACTAATCAAAGTATAAAGGTAATATGAAAATAACACTAACACTGGATCAAACAGCCCTGTGTCTTGGTGGTTTTCTACCCATGAGTTCTGGGTAAAGTTAACCCAGTATTGCACCAAGTTGGGTCAGTTGTGATCCATTAATTTTTAATTTGTAATTAAAATCAAAAGATTTCTGAGGCATTAATGTAAAAACTATTGTGACATGATGCGATGTATAACAAGTATGTGAGAACTTCTCATAAAAGAAAACATGAAACCATTTCCTCTTTCTCATGCTGACACGTTTCACTATTTAAAACAAACATGAAACTTGATGCATGTGAGTTTTGTATCTGCAATACGCAATGATAATTCAAAAACATTATGCGGCCACCAGGGATGCACCGCGACCAGCATTAGTCATCTTATTGGCTTCCATCATTTCCTGTAAAAATCATTACTTCATTCAAAACAATGCTGTGCACCAATTTCTTGTAAACTAATTCCAAGATACTGCAGTATTCAAGACTAGTGCACACTGCACTTTGTAATATTAGTATGTACAGTAGAGTAGTGAGAAATGAACTCACTAATTGTGACTGTGATAAAAAGTAAAATCCCGACTCTCTCTCTTTCATTCTCTCTCAGTTGTGTTTTTGTTTTGCCCCCCCCCCCCCCCCCCCCCCCCCCCACCCCACCTTCATCCCCCTTCTTTGCTGCCCTGTTTTCATTTTCTCTCTTTTCTCTCTCTGCTCTTGTGTGGGCCAAAGCAGCAGCAGCTTAGAACAAGTTTCCACTTCACCTATCAGGCCATCTATGTCTCGAAAGTGAGAGAGCAGGGCAAGCATTGCCATGTGAGGAATACTGTTATCTTGCACGGTGAATGCAAAGTAAACAGAGGTTTGAAATAAGACAAAAATCGTTTGCAGGTGATAAACATACCAAAGTAGCTAGTTTTAGTTTGCTTAACAACAAATGTGTTGTTTTTAGCCACGCTAGCAGCTTGGCATTGAGAATGGTAATGTTGGTCCAGAATGAAATATCTCAGCAACTATTGGATTGCCCTGAAATTTGGCTCAGGTGTCATGTCCCCCTCGAGGTGAACTGTATGAATATGGTGAACCCGTAATGTGTCATCTAGTGCTGTCATCAGGTCAGAATTTTGATTAGTCAAATACTTTGGTATATTACCAAATACCCGCAAAATGAATTACATTTCCATCAGCCTTAGCTGTGCTTTATGTTCAGTGCTAATTAGCAAATGCTATCATGCCAACTCATTAAAATAGAGAGACCCAAAGCACCTCTTTGTACAGCCTCACAGAGCTGCTAGCATGATCTTGTTCTTCAACTTATAGTTCACACAACAATGAGAAAACCAAACTTAAAAGATTCATTTTCAGCTGATTATCTCCACTGATTAAAAATATGTGCTCCCCAGATTACTAAAAAGCAGTGCTGCTGGAGCGGTGCCCTGCGTCTTGGTTTTACATGTAAAGACCCATCGAGGATCAACCCTGACACCTTGCCCAAGTACGCCTGCCCTGACCTGGTCTCCCAGAGCGGCTTCTGGGCAAAGGCTCTGCCCGAAGAGCTCTCCAACGAGGGAAACGTCATTTCCTTCTGGGTAGACAAGAAGGGCCGGGTGTTTTACCGAATCAACGACTCCAGCTCCATGCTGTTCTTCAGCGGGGTCCACGTCTCTGAACCTCTGTGGGCTCTTATAGACGTCTACGGCCTCACCAGGGGGGTTCAGCTGCTAGGTGAGTAACGTGTTCAGAACCAGGTCCTTTTCTGAGAAACTGTGGCTGTATTGAATTGCAAATTTAGCACTAGTATTTAGCTTTCTTTGTTTTGTTTTTTTTTGTTCGCACGGGGTGATTTTTACTATCATACTTTCCCACTGGAAATTGTCTGCATCTGATGTTCTTTTTCACTGCGATTGGTGTGAGGTGATGTTACATACAGCGGCCCTACTTTTCCCACACCCACCAAATAGCTCAATGGAAAAAGATGGTGGGAGATTAGATAGATTGTACAGTTACCACGGTTGTTAGTATCAAAGAAATTTCCCTTATAGGGGAATTTCAAAATGTCTGAGATCCTTTTAACAAGTTCTCCGTGCTGTTTAAAGGGTCATTACATCAAAGAAATTAGGAACAAACAGGTCCTTCCCAATCATTAAGAGAAGTCTTTCAGCACACTGAATAATCTGAAGAATGATTGGATTGTAGATTGAGATGCATTTATGAAACACATCATACGATGAAAACAGCTGTCTCCAATTTTTGAAAACAATGTAAAACTATGCTAAATAGATAAATAGGAATCCTTGTGGACGCCTCAATACTTATTTATAACCATTTCCAAGAATTATGCCGCCTCTCTCCAAAAGAATAGAGGCTGTCAGCACCGTTAATAAAAATAGAAGAGGCTCCCATATTGTGTAGATAGTGCCATTTAACCTCATTTCTTGCGGCGTGTTTGACAACGAGAAGCGTGCTATCTCATGATGGGCTGTTTGGTATCCAGCGCCAGAGTGCGACTATCTGGGGTTCACTGGCCTGGTGGTGCTGAGCAGCACACAGCTCTTGTCGAAGAACAAGAGGAGTGTGTTGGCCATCCCAAGAGGACAGACAAGAGGAGGGATGATGTCAGGTAATGACATGTCTGGGGTGCTTTTTTCCAAGACAATCAAACCAGTGGAATGTCTCACTCTTTAGATCCAAGTCTGAATTTGACATCATGTGACATGTGATCACCCTGCAGTCACCCCTGAGACAGATTCATATGTTTAAATGAGAGTAACGTTACTCTCATGAATCTTTCCATTTTACAATTAAAAACAAGATTCTCTGCCGTTTTTAGTTGTACTTTATGCCTGTGAATGAGGCCAACAGCCCTAAATCCCACTGTTTCTACTCTGGTTTTCCCACATTGATCACCTTCATCCCCACATTGATGGCTTAAACCGAAAAGCCTCAGCCCTCAGTCAGCTGAAGGATCACTTCAATATCAGCTTTCCTCTATAGTCTGAGAACGTCACTACTCGAGAGCATGGTATATCTCAAAGGCCCTGTATTGTCTCAGCAGTTGGCTGCAGTTCAGCAGACACTTAGTCTCTGAAATATGGGCGGACACATCAAAGTCTGGTGTTGCAAACTGGCACATGTGCGTATTTTCCTTTAACAGAAGGGTGCGTTTTGATTCTTAATGATGCTTACACAATGGTCTGAAATTTATGCTACACCAGCTGATAAATTGAGCCAAATTTCACCTGTTGTGGGCTTGTTATCACACAATCTGTCCAGGTGGGAATTACAGATCTGCTGCAGTTGTTTTTTTACAGGAGACAAATGGAGCGTGTAGCTGTGAATAAGCGCTATAGAGCGTAGAGAATGGCTTGGTTAGGTGACCTTGATTTGGCTTTTGTGATAAATGTGCAAGACAGTAAAAATATAACAGAAAAGGAGTCGTGATAAACCTGTTGACATAAGTAATATGAATTGCTGAGTCAGTGAGATAATGTGTTTTGCTTTGTTAGGCTTTATGTTTATTAAAGGACCTCTCCACCAATTTTACGGAGGGAGATCAGTTTACTTGTCACCAAGAGTATAATTCAGCCTGTGAAACAGTTGTATAACGTCTTCTATGGCTCTGAAGGGAGCTTTAAAAGTGTACTCCTAATAGGAGTCCAAAATTGATTTAGCATTGGCCTCGTATAACACTGTCAGTCTCATGATGGACAGTTTCTTAAAAAAAAAAAGCAAAACCATAGATATTGTCTCTTTTTGTTCAACACATTCGTCTTCCTTGTCAAAACCCATTGACTACATTGCCCACAATGCAGCTCGACCACCAACAATTTGGATGGATATTTGGATGAGTTAATGCTAGTTGTAGCTAGTGTTTGATGTGTAAAATTGGTGGAGGTCCACTTTAAAGTCTGAGAAAATATGAGGATAACCACGGTGTCATGAGGGTTATATCGACTTGGGATTGAGACTGCATTGAACTAATTACAAATTACTAATTACAAACTGGAGATGCTGAGTGCAAAAGATTTAATTGCAATACAGGAAGTGTATAATCCAGCATTTCTGGAGTTTGACCCATACTAGGGACTAAAAGTCAGGATATCATAAACTCTGCCTCTTGTGACTCCCCCAGCTTCATTAAAGTAATCGCTAGTTCCCCTTTGAGTTTTTGTTGAGAAAATAAATAGTGACGGCAGATTTCCACTTCCCCAGAACATTATAACCATTTTATGTGTCAGATGAACCATGCCTGTGTTGTGTGACATCACTCCCCAGCCTACAGCTCAGCCCAACCAGCCGTCGCTCTCTTATTTTAAGAGCCGAGTAGTGAGCATAACTGTATCTGATCACATCCTTTCTGTGAATAGCTTCCTCGCCTTTAATATTTCATTGATTAATTATAAAAGTGTCCCTGCTCACATGTCAGCGCACATCAGCGTAACTGTCACAATGTTTGTGCGAAACGCCACCTGAGTATAAACGTCTACTGAACTGACAGCCAAAATGGATCATCGCTATTCTGACAAAATGTTTTTTGATTGTCTTGCTTGAACTAATAGTTTCTGTGATCCTTTCTAGGGTGAACATTTCTTTAAAAGCGGAGCCTCTTAAATTCATTCTGAACACATTGTAATGTTGCATCATTGTCTAAGGCATTTTTTTTTGTCCGTTTTTGAAGTTGTTTCTTTTTATTCAGTAGCAATGACCTACTATGAAACCAATGCAGTTTAGCATTGCTACAGTCAAAGGTTTGTTGTTTTATTTAGCCTGTGGTTAATCTGCATCATACACATGCACCACAGGATTCCTTTGTGTCTGTTTGATCTTTTACAACCTTACATGCTATATTAAGGAATTCATCAAAGCTGCTATTGTTTCACTTGCGCTGTCTCTCGATGCAGCCTGCTGCCAAACAGTTTTTCTGCTATCAGGTCTTGTTCTGATGTTTAAGGATCTTTTCAAGAGCGGTGTTGTTTCCTCTCTAAGCTATTATCAAGGGAGTGCAGTTCAGGAGCTAGCCACCCATGCAAGGAGTCAAAGGTGAGCCTGAGATCAGTGAGACAGCTTGAAAGCTGAGATGGTGTTGCGTAAGAGAGGAAGCTAAATTAATCTGCTGAAATCAAACTGAGCCTCGGGGGTTGTCCAGACCAACAATGCTGCCTATGCAATTTAAGAAAGATCTGTTACATCACCACACTTGTCCTACTCATGCAGCTATCAATAAAGACTAAAGTGCCTTGCTTGGGTTTTGTACAGAACGGCCTGTGCTGTTGAGCGTCTGCAGCTGAGACACATTAGCCCTTCGAGGGACTGACAAAAGGTTTCCTCAAGTGTATAATATGTCTCAAGCAGCATAACTGTTTTCAAAGCTAAATTGTCAGCTGTATTTTCACAAATGTTTCTGTTTACTTACTTCATTATATTTCTCTGAGCAGTATTATAAGAAACCTGGCTTTAGAAATCACAAAAAAACACCATTTCCCAACAGCTATATTTTAAAAATATCAAGTTTGAAAGGTAAGTTTTCATTTTTTGGTTACTAGTAACTGTTAAGAGTTATATCAAGTTGTAGAAGATTCAGAAATCAGGTCACAAATAACTTGCAAGTGTTTCCAGTTGTACTGTATTTCCCAGAAGTGAAACACATATGGGAATGGTACACCTCTCTGCAGTCAGAAAAGTAATGCTGCTCCCTTAACACATGTATGGCTGCAGTCTTACCAGAATGTGTTTGTTTATGGGACAAATCCCCAGAGACCACACAGCATCCACCGTTTTGTACAGGTATGATGGATTCCTTCCAAGTTAGATAAGCAGAGCGAGTCAAAGGCATCTTTTGATGGATGCAAGATGCTCTACTGGGGGTTTGTTTACTAGGGGTAGATGAGTCACTTAATCACTGACAGAATGGTAGTGATCCGTGAAACCGGAATCAGCTAACATCATCTGCAACCTGTCTCTCCAGTCATTAGAGAAGAATCCAAAATGGCTGCCAGACTGTCAAGAGGCTGCGTACCTCTCAGGTGATTAAGGGGATGGTGTTGACATTAATCATCTCTGCACACGGCAATGCAATGCATTCGGCCTGTAAAGCATCATGGTGGGGGGAACCTCTGGCTGTATGCTTTCTATGTTTACGAACATTCTGAGAGACATCACGAACATTTCCAGCTCTGGGGACCAAGGGGACAGTTTTAAAAGAAGTATGAGGGACACGATGGTTTTGAAAACAGTTTGCATAGATGTAGATTTTAGTTATTTTTTGGCATGGCTCTATGGATTACAATGTCACTCCTGACGGTCTACCTCAACAAATGTGGGATGGCTGTCAGTGAAACTTTATACAGACACTCACGGTCTGACTTAACTGATCCCATGACTTTGACTGTAGCGCCATCATGAGGTGGAAATTTTTCTGTTTTACAGAAATGTCTCGAGAACTATTATATGGATTTCCGTGACTTACAAACATTGACATTTCATCGAGCGCCACCAACAAGTCAAAGTTCTCACTTACCCCTGTGCTAGATACTATAAAGGTGTTGGCACCAAATTTTATAGAGGCATTCATGGTTTGCAGATTATGACTTTGTGATCTACTGACTTTTTATATAGCGCCACCAGGAGGTTATGTGTAAAATGTCTCGTCAGCTATTTCCATGAAATAAGGTGTAAACATGGTCCCCCTTCATCCATCACCATCAAGTCAAAATGTAAATTTAATT